AATCAATAATATCAAAAGCCTTCTCTCATGAACTCTTGAAGAGAGAAAGAGTACCCAAACTCATACATCTATGATGAGATAGACTCTTTAAAGGGCTTCCTAAAAATGATGAAGTTTGGTTGGCTAATCTTTTTAGATCTACCTCATAATTTAGCCATATATTATATTAGTTGTTAAACATTCATATAAGCCACCTGCTCTATGCTTATAATGCTAGGCGCATTGTTTCGATGAAGTCCCTTCCTTCAAGTTAGTGAAGGAGAGACTTCTCTAGCATTGAGAACTACCTTCCCTTCTTTAAGAGCTATAAGTTGGAGTTCCATCCCTATTTACAACTTGAAAGCTAAAATCATCTTTAATAAGAGTAATATCTTTACTTTTATGATCATTCCTATTTTTTTAATGATGAAATAACAAAAAGGAAGAAAGTATTTTTTAGGGTGAGGATTACTAAGTTTGGGTAACAAAGTTTTTTCTTGTGAAAGTCTATCAAAATTTAAATTGTTATTGTCTAAAGCTTGAATTTTTACTGTCTTAGGGTTATTGTTTTACATATCTTATATTTGATGTAACACTTTCAAAATTACATCATCAAAATAATAACTATTATATAAATCTAATTTTTTATAAAAAATTCGGTAGAGTTTCCTTTGTTTTTTTATATTACCAAGTTATCGACTAGACCCCATTTAATCATAACACTCAATTTTTTATTTTGATCCAACTCTCTTGGATCATATCCCATTTCATCATATAATATTTCACATAGCAATACTTTATTGTGCTTTCTGAGCCTTATATCATCAACAAATAAAACATAGCAATTATATTATCTTATAATAAAACATTAACTAAGTTCATATAAATAAAAACTCAAAGGATTCATATTAAACTAATTATTACTTTAACATGCATAATTATGATTACTAAACTTCATTTCAAATAGTTTACTAATACTAGTTCTTTATACTTTTTAAAGGTGTAAATACCAACAACAATTATCTTTAGGATATATTTATTAAAATCTATATATAATACAAATTATATATAAAAGCAAAAGATATTACATAAAAAAATAGATTTAAACACTAAAGCCTATATGTAATGCTCTACATCACCTCGTGAAATACTTGTATACATAACATTAATAAGAAATAAGGAAGATAACACATTAAAAATGATAAAACTATTATGTTCACAATTCTTCAAAATATATCAAATTATCTTTTCTCATTAATTTACTACATATCAACATCAATAACCCATTTATAATTTATCAATCCTATACTTATAAGACCATAACAACTCTTTTTAATAGACAACAAATATCCGGTAATCACATATGAATTACTCCACAACTGGCTATTCTTTTTTAATAGCTAATCAAACTGGTAATTTTATATAAATTACCCAACATCCATCTACTCTCATTTAATAGACAATTTAATTGGTAATTCTATACGAATTACCCAACATCCCTATTATAATACAAACAAGTTTTTTCTTCTATTTTTTTCATATTAATATGTCATAAAACAACTCATAACTAATAATGAAACTTTGAATTTTAAAAGAAATTAATGAATTATCTACCTTATACTCATGATGACCCAACTCTTTTTGTCTGATAACCAACTCGAGACACAACTCCTCAATCAATCAAATATCATTACATTATTAGCTTATTAATATTTTTCTTATGTGTCAAAATGCAAAGC